GGGAGGTCTGGCCGAATCACTAATCTTGACGCTTTCCTGTAAAAGCATGTAATCTTAGATTTTAGATTTCTTGTATAGTCCTAAAGTATTAAAAAGGGAACCAAATGAATCTAGAATTTACCTGGACAGATGTCTGAAGTTTATTTATAGCTCTTTTAAGCTTTGAAATGACAGCTTTTTCAAATAAGGTGACAGCTTCGTCACTGCGAGAAGTTAAAGTTCCTTGAATGTTAGTGACCACTTGACTTGATATGTCACTGCCAACATTTTGGAGTTTTCTTCTTAAATCTCTCTGAACAGATGATAGTTCCTCCTTAGTTGCAGTCTTCCTTTGCAATCCCATTAGAGTGTCCACCATCTCCCTCTGAGATGAAATAGCTTCACCCATCCTCGTCTTAGAAGTGAAAAGCTGCCTCAAAATTTGAGGAAGATCTTGACGCTTTGCCTGATCATCTTGAAGACATTCAAGAGTCTTTTGATCAACAAGACCAGTTTCGTCAGTCTTCTGATGATCATCTTGAAGAAGACTTTCCTCAGTATCATCTTGAAGAAGACTTTCCTTAGTATCATCTTGAAGAAGACTTTCCTCAGTATCATCTTGAAGAAGACTTTCCTCAGTCTTCTGATCTTCAAGCTGTTTTTTCTTCTTTCTTTGTAAAGAACGCACCAACGACAGCTGATCATAAGCATCTCCGCCTTTCTTCCTAGTATAGTGTTCATATAGGTTTACGGTTATTTGCCGATTCTGAGAAAACTTGGCACTAAGACACTCGTGCAGTTCAGACAAAGATAAGCAGTTTTGGAAGCATTCTTTAGCTGCAAGAACCACAGGTTGCATCTCTTTCATCTCTTTGTTTCGTTTCTTCAACCGATTTTCAAAATCATGATTAATGTGTTGAAAGAACTTATTAAATTTTGATTTTAGTGAATCCTGTAACAGTATCAGAATCAATTAATCAAAGACAAAAAAAAATAAAGCACAACAAAAACAAGTGACATACCATCATTTTGTCAATGGCTTTATCGATTTTGACAGCCACATCATCATCTGAAAAACGGATTCCGTCAAGGAGCTCCTTGTTGCCGACGAAAAGACAATCCCCCCAGAAGTCAGCATCACTGTTGTTTCCGACCAGCAGAGAATTCCAGATGTTAGCCGCTTTCAGTCTATCCACATCTTCCTGGCGTATATCGTAGTTGAGTACTGGCAAAAAGAATAACAAGCAACAGATCAAGATATATATATATATATATATAGCAGAAATTTATACTTTAAAATCATTAGAGATTCCTTAAATATATCAATCGATAAGAACTTTCCATCAAGAACGCTCGCCTCTACGGACACCACTAAGAGAAACATCAAAAATCGACAAGAGAATCAGAATTGAAGGCAA